CGAATGCACGGAAAACGCTAAGGGAAAGGGGGAAGCCGAGCAGCAGAAACAGACCAAGCAGCAGGGAAACGCTGGGAGTCAGTAGCAGACGGGCCCTCTACTGACAGGTCACGCCGCTCGCCCGACCCAACCGACCCTCACCGAGTGACTGTGCCGGTTCACGCAATCGACCACACCCGGTCGAATAAGGAGGGTACTATAGTAGACAGCCCTATACTGCTTAGTGGGAAAATCGGGACTGACTTAGTTAAGATATTCGTAGACGGAGGGGCCAGCCACAGTCTTATCAACACTGCCACAGCACGAAAACTGCGACTGCCACTGGACAGATGCTTACCTGAGATCGACGCAAGACTGGTCGACGGCAAGCCACTGGCGATACGGGAACGGATGGACCGAGTTCGGATTCGATGCGGGGGTAACTTCACGTTTAGCCAGGAAATGCTCGCAACGACCCTCGACGGAACTGATATTTTACTCGGGCGTGATTGGCTGCGACGACACAATCCACGAATCGACTGGACGACGGGTGACTGCGCTGTGCGAATGAACAGTAACAACATCGCCTTACCTCGCTGGGGCTCGCCTGAGTCTTCGTCGGTGCGTGTCAACGCGATCACGATGAAACGCACCGTAGCGACAGGAGCTGACGTGTACGCGGTTGACATTCGGGAAGCCGAGGCAGCAGACAAAGGGCGGGCCGACGTACCGAGTGATGTGGCAGCACTGTTGAAGCAGTACAGTGACATCTTCCCGGACGACCTACCGACGGGACTGCCACCTCAGCGACCGCACGACCACAGGATAGAACTAGAACCGGGGGCACAGCCAACAGTACAGCGACAGTTCCAACTGACCCAACCCGAACTGGACGAACTGAGGAAGCAGCTGGATTACCTGCTCGAGAAGGAGTTCATTCGCCCTAGTTCGTCGCCCTTCGCAGCACCGATACTGTTCATGCCGAAAAAAGACGGGGGATTTCGCATATGCATAGATTACAGAGCACTGAACAGGGTTACCATCAAATCCCGTTACCCCATCCCGCGAGCCGACGAACTGATCGACCAACTGCGCACAGCCCGGGGTTTCTCGAAAATTGACCTTCGGGGAGGTTACCACCAGATTCGCGTCAACCCACCCGACTGCTCTAAGACAGCCTTCCAAACACGCTACGGATCCTTCGAATACACCGTCATGCCCTTCGGACTGACCAACGCCCCCGCCACTTTCCAAATGACCATGAACGAAGCCTTCCGCCCGCTTTTAGATAAGTGCGTCATCGTATACCTGGACGACATACTGATTTACAGCCCCGACAGAGCACAGCACTTACAGGACATCGAAGCATTTTTTAAGATACTGAGTGAGAACCGCCTACTGACAAAAGCATCTAAGTGTGAGTTTTTACAGGACCGACTAGAATTTTTGGGACACATCATTTCAGCTTCAGGAGTGGAAATAGACCCGAGAAAATTTGCAACGATTCAAACATGGCACGCGCTGACCAACTTGACCGAGTTGCAGAGTTTTCTGGGGTTCGTCAACTACTTGCGCCGGTTCGTCCCCGACATGGCGAAGCTGACTGCCCCGTTGACCGACCTGCTGAGGAAGGGGGTTGAGTACACGTAGGGGGAGAAAGAGCAAGCTACCTCATCGGCCCTCAAAAACATTTTGTGCTCACCGCCCGTACTTCACTTTGCAGATCCGCACCGTCCGTTCGAGCTCGTCACCGACGCTAGCGACATCGCTGTGGGAGCAGTACTGTTGCAGGACTTTGGGAACGGCCTCCAGCCAATCGCGTACGAGTCCCGCAAGCTTCACCCGCCCGAACGCAACCATCCGATACACGACCGCGAAATGTTGGCGTGGCGATGTTACCTCACGGGAGCAGACGTGGCAGTACGGACAGATCACCGATCAGTACAGTACCTTCGCGCCCAACCGAATCTCAACCCACGACAGATCCGCTGGTTGGACTATCTGGAGTCCAATTTCCACTATACAGTCACGTACAAAAAAGGCGCATCCAACATCGCCGACGCACTCACACGCCCCCACCGCCCAACTCCACGCCATCCTACTCGCCCAAACCAACCCACTGTTAACAGGCCTATTCACCCACGGATACAGTACCGACCCATTTTTCACGACCGGAAATTCACAGCAACTGGGAGAGGCCAGAGGAGTCTATTACGTAAAAACAGGCACCAATCGCATTTGGGTACCCGCGTACTCGCTACTGAGGGAACTCTTACTGCAGGAGGCACACGACGGGATTACCTCAAGACATTTCGGGGTAGAAAAAACGCGACAGCAACTGCAGCGGTATTACTAGTGGCCGGAGCTGTTGACCGACGTACAGCACCACGTGGGCTCGTGTCCTACGTGTCAGGTGATGAAGAGCTCGCGAAAAAGAAAGGCGGGTCAGTTGCAGCCGATTCCACCGCCTGAGCGCGCCTGGCAACAGGTTACCATGGATTTCGTCACGGGGTTACCTTCGAACCCTGGGGGTAACGACGCAGTTATGGTCGTCGTTGACAGGTTGACGAAGATGGCACACTTCGCTGCGTGCAAGAAATCGATCTCAGCCGAAGAAACCGCTCGCCTGTTCATCGTAGCCGTCGTTCGACTGCACGGGGTACCAGCCGCGATAATCAGCGACCGCGACACGAAGTTCACCAGCAACTTCTGGAAGAACCTCTGGGAGCAGTTCGGGACAAGGCTACAGTTCAGCTCGTCGTACCACCCCGAGACCGACGGTCAAACGGAGCGGACGAATCAGACAATGGAGCAGTTGATCCGTGCCACGTGCGACGACCCGACCACTTGGGAGCAGCAGCTGCCGCTGATCGAGTTCGCATATAACAACGCCACGTCAGCGACGACGCAGCAGTCTCCTTTCTATCTGAACTACGAGCAAAACCCTACAGTGCCTATGATGCCGAGTCCGGACAACCCAACACCACGTGCACAGCAATTCGCCGAAATTCTGCAAGCTGCCCGCACCAGACCTGCAGAAGCAATTAAAAAAGCCAACGTCATCGCTAAACGCAACGCTGACCGCCACCGCCGCCAAGTCACGTACCAGTCAGGAGATTACGTACTGCTCGACACACAGAACTTAAAGCCAGGATCTCAAGTACCACAAATGTTTTGCAGTTGATGGTTGGAGCTTGGCTGCGATTGGTCGACGAGGTGCAAGGGGTGCAGCGAGGGGTGCGAAGGAAACTGAACTCGTTTGTGTGTGTCCGAACCTTGTAGGCATGGAGTTTGGTTCGGATCCGAAGCTAGAATGCCACAAATTTGCCGACAGTCTCATGTTTCTGAAATTGTTTTGCATTTGGTGCTGGGGCAAAAGCTTGGGAGTGTCGCACGCCAAACTGCCTAGCCAACCAGTCTACTTCGCATACAGAAACGGGGTAACTGAGCGTCAACTGTTTTGCAATTGATCCCAATTTCTCTTACTTGAGATCCTGACTTTAAGACTGCCCGTCGTACCGAAATTGCGACCCCGCTACTGTGGACCATTCCAAATCAACCACATGATTACCCCAGTGACAGCCCACCCACTGTTGCCGACGAACTGGTACATCAGCCCTTCGTTCCACGTCAGCCTACTTCGCCCATACATCCCAGCCACAAGCCAACTGCCTCGTCAGCGCCCGCCATCCATGACTCGCCCTGCATCGGAGCCGATCATTGAGCCTGAAAAAATCATGAGCCATCGGATTCGACACCCCACGGGAATCAAGAGGATTGAATTCCTCGTTCGCTGGAAGGATCGCACGCCAACTGAGGATAGCTGGGTGCCCCTGGCCAACATCGACAACCACCCTGCCTTGCAAGTGTATCTGAGGAGCCGGGGTTTCCGCGATATACACGCACTCGCGTAGCGGAGGGGGCTTCTTGAGGGGGGGGGTAGTGTAAGGAATTTTCTCGATATTCCTTAGCGCGCCCTGCAACATCGCGTACAGCAGCAGCCGTTGTTCGCCCGTTACTGCTAACGGGGCTTCGCCGACTTCGCGCGCACTGTTTTCCCAAACCTCGCACTGCTGGACCGGCCGTGTCGGCCTACGCTTCGGGACTAGCCCGAGCCTTGCTTCCAGCGTAGCACTAGCTAGCTCGCACGCACCGCGTTACCGTTTGCATGTTTCGCGTATAAATGTTCGCCCAGGCCTTCGCTCACATTTTGTACTCGTTTGACACCTTAGTGCAACTCTCGCTACTTCGATTCATTGCACCCGTAACACTGTCAAACAAAACGCAGCACAGTTCAACCACCAAAAGAACAAACTAAATCACGATAATTCGAATCTCAATTTTGAAAGTTTGGTGGGACAGGAGGCGTTCTTTTCCCACCTCCCCCACCCTGCCCTTCATGCATCTGACCTGGGCCCGAACCAGCACCAAACGAACCTCCACTCGGACCATTATTTGCCATTCCCGGCCCAGCATGACCCCCTGGACCTCCCATTCCTCCAAAAGGTGGGTTAATTCCCATATTGCCCGAAGGCTGAAATTGGTTCGGCTGCTGAATGGGTGTCTGGGGTTGGTTCCCGTGCTGCTGGCGGTTCGGCGGGGACTTGGGTCGCAGAGCCTCGATCTCAGGCGTGGTAACCAGCAGGTGCGGCGCTCCAGGTGGGGGATTGCCTCGGCCTGTGCCTTGCCAAACCTTCCCGTCAGGTCCGGCAAAGAGCTTGCAGTAGGTCTGGTAGAAAACACATACCAAGCCGGAACGGAAGGGGTGTGGTGTGGTTAATTACATCTTAAAAGGGAGAATGTTGAGGATGCTGGATGAGCAGCCTGAGTGGTCTGCTATACGTTACATTTATAAATGCAACGAAAACAGCATATATGCACACACGGAGAAAAGAACAGCATGAAGAAATGCATCCTAAGCAACACAGAGAAACATAGCAAAGACAATATTAAAGTAGAAAGGTGGTGGGGAGGGGGGAGTGGGGGAAAGGATGACTAAGAATCTGGTCGTGACCAATCACCTGGGGGTTGAAATTTGAGGAGGTGAGAGATTTCCCCACGGTCAGCCAGCCTGCCCGGATATTGTGGTCAGCGCCAAACAATTCTATGCGCCGCCGCCCGAGAGCAAAGTGCTCGATGAGGGAGTAGAGCTCCTCAGGCTTCTCCGTGCTCCCTGCAAAGAACAACAGGTGGGTTGAGAGTGGTGAAGAGCAGTTGAAAGAAGTTGAGGGAGGTTGAGGGAGTGTAAGAGTGGCTGAAAGCGGTGAAGAAGGGAGGAAACAGATTCAGAGAAAAGTGCTCGATGAGGGAATAGCAGACGAGAGAACCGGCGCGGTTTAAGAGCGGTTCAGAGGGTTGAGTGAGGTTGGAAACAATTGCGAGTGTCGGAAGCAATTGAGAGGGGTGAACAGGTGATGAGACAGATTGGAAGCACAGAGCTACAAAAGGAGGCTCTCCCTGTATAAGCACATTCGCTACAATCACCTACCAAAGGGGGGCTGCTCCGATATAAGCACATCAGTGTCAATGTTTGCGTGAATGACATGGCCGTCTGTGCTCCTCCTGACTGTCCCCCTGATGCCCATCAGACAGTGCTCCTGGGGGGAGGAGAGAGAAGAGGAGCCGGGGAAAAGAGTGGGCACAGGAGGAGAAGGTCGAAATGAGCATATATGAATTTGCCGTGAATGACATGGCCGTCTGTGCTCCGCCTCACAGTGGCTCTCATGCCCATCTGACAGTGCTCCTGCAGGAATTGAGAGGTCGGAAGGTTCGGAGGTTGGAAGGTTAAAAGAGTGGTTAAAAGGGGTTGGTATAAGCACATCGGAATGATGTCGCGATCCGTAATTCTCCTGACCGTGCCTCTGATCCCCATCAGAAAGTGCTCCTAGCAGGGCAGGGAGGGGCAGAAAGGTGCTCGCCGAACAGCAGGGGCAAAAGGTACCGCTGGTGGCATTTAAGGCATTATACTGGTAGGGAGTTTTTGAGAATTCTCAAAAACTCCCGGCATTATACTGGTGGTATGTAAGCACTATGCACCACTGATAATATCCATATTCATGGTGGTGCATAGTGGCTATGGAATATCCATTGTCCACTACTGGAATATGGCGCGTATCAGCTGGCAACAGAACTAGCGTTATCCATCAACTAGTATCTCCAAAATCTCAAAAATCTCAAACCACACTGAACCACAATGCACCATGCCACAAAACTATACCGCACCACAACACACTGCGCCGCACTGCACCTTGGAGTGTTGGAACAGCGTCTCAGACGTGTGCCCCCAGGGGCTGTCAGGCTTCTCCCGGTTGGTCTTCACCCAGCAGATGTCCTCACAGCGGCGAAAGCCCCACTGTAATTGAGGGAGAGAGAGGGGAAAGGAGGGAAGATGCATGACAGGTTGCAAGAGGAGAAGAGGGAGGAGGCATGACATCAACCCTGCACATGCGAGGAAGAGAAGAGGAGCACACCTTCTTGCTCCATATGCTGACTTTTGAGTCGACTCAAAAGTCACCTCGTTACAATGGTACACGAAACTTTTTGAGTCGACTCAAAAGTCACCTCGTTACAATGGCACACGAAACTTTTTGAGTCGACTCAAAAGTCACCTCGTTACAATGGCACACGAAACTTTTTGAGTCGACTCAAAAATGACATCAACCCTGCACATGCGAGGAAGAGAAGAGGAGCACACCTTCTTGCTCCATATGCAAACTCATATCGGAATAGCTGCAAACCCTGAAGAAAACGCTTAAGCAACTGTAAGGAACGAAACTGTAAAAAACTTCCCAGAAATTGAAGTAGTACAAGAAACCCCTTAACTTGCAAGAATCCTAATCGCAAGTTTTTTGAGGCGCCTAAAAAATCACATGCGAGGAAGAGAAGAGGAGCACACCTTCTTGCTCCATATGCTTATGGCAAGAGGGGTACGATAAACTCCAGCCCTTGGCTTTTTTTAGGCGCCTCAAACATCGTCTCGGTTCTTCAGGCGCCTGAAAGAGGGGTGCACCCTCCTGCTCCATACACTGCTTTTGAGTCGACTCAGCTTTTGAGTCGACGCAGCTTTTGAGTCGACGCAGCTTTTGAGTCGACGCGGCTTTTGAGTCGACGCGGCTTTTGAGTCGACGCGGCTTTTGAGTCGACGCGGCTTTTGAGTCGACGCGGCTTTTGAGTCGACGCGGCTTTTGAGTCGACGCGGCTTTTGAGTCGACGCGGCTTTTGAGTCGACGCGGCTTTTGAGTCGACGCGGCTTTTGAGTCGACGCGGCTTTTGAGTCGACGCGGCTTTTGAGTCGACGCGGCTTTTGAGTCGACGCGGCTTTTGAGTCGACGCGGCTTTTGAGTCGACGCGGCTTTTGAGTCGACGCGGCTTTTGAGTCGACGCGGCTTTTGAGTCGACGCGGCTTTTGAGTCGACGCGGCTTTTGAGTCGACGCGGCTTTTGAGTCGACGCGGCTTTTGAGTCGACGCGGCTTTTGAGTCGACGCGGCTTTTGAGTCGACGCGGCTTTTGAGTCGACGCGGCTTTTGAGTCGACGCGGCTTTTGAGTCGACGCGGCTTTTGAGTCGACGCGGCTTTTGAGTCGACGCGGCTTTTGAGTCGACGCGGCTTTTGAGTCGACGCGGCTTTTGAGTCGACTCAGCTTTCGAGTCGACTCAGCTTTCGAGTCGACCCAGCTTTCGAGTCGACCCAGCTTTCGAGTCGACCCAGCTTTCGAGTCGACCCAGCTTTCGAGTCGACCCAGCTTTCGAGTCGACCCAGCTTTCGAGTCGACCCAGCTTTCGAGTCGACCCAGCTTTCGAGTCGACCCAGCTTTCGAGTCGACCCAGCTTTCGAGTCGACGCAGCTTTCGAGTCGACGCAGCTTTCGAGTCGACGCAGCTTTCGAGTCGACGCAGCTTTCGAGTCGACGCAGCTTTCGAGTCGACGCAGCTTTCGAGTCGACGCAGCTTTCGAGTCGACGCAGCTTTCGAGTCGACGCAGCTTTCGAGTCGACGCAGCTTTCGAGTCGACGCAGCTTTCGAGTCGACGCAGCTTTCGAGTCGACGCAGCTTTCGAGTCGACGCAGCTTTCGAGTCGACGCAGCTTTCGAGTCGACGCAGCTTTCGAGTCGACGCAGCTTTCGAGTCGACGCAGCTTTCGAGTCGACGCAGCTTTCGAGTCGACGCAGCTTTCGAGTCGACGCAGCTTTCGAGTCGACGCAGCTTTCGATTCGAGTCGACGCAGCTTTCGAGTCGACGCAGCTTTCGAGTCGACGCAGCTTTCGAGTCGACGCAGCTTTCGAGTCGACGCAGCTTTCGAGTCGACGCAGCTTTCGAGTCGACGCAGCTTTCGAGTCGACGCAGCTTTCGAGTCGACGCAGCTTTCGAGTCGACGCAGCTTTCGAGTCGACGCAGCTTTCGAGTCGACGCAGCTTTCGAGTCGACGCAGCTTTCGAGTCGACGCAGCTTTCGAGTCGACGCAGCTTTCGAGTCGACGCAGCTTTCGAGTCGACGCAGCTTTCGAGTCGACGCAGCTTTCGAGTCGACGCAGCTTTCGAGTCGACGCAGCTTTCGAGTCGACGCAGCTTTCGAGTCGACGCAGCTTTCGAGTCGACGCAGCTTTCGAGTCGACGCAGCTTTCGAGTCGACGCAGCTTTCGAGTCGACGCAGCTTTCGAGTCGACGCAGCTTTCGAGTCGACGCAGCTTTCGAGTCGACGCAGCTTTCGAGTCGACGCAGCTTTCGAGTCGACGCAGCTTTCGAGTCGACGCAGCTTTCGAGTCGACGCAGCTTTCGAGTCGACGCAGCTTTCGAGTCGACGCAGCTTTCGAGTCGACGCAGCTTTCGAGTCGACGCAGCTTTCGAGTCGACGCAGCTTTCGAGTCGACGCAGCTTTCGAGTCGACGCAGCTTTCGAGTCGACGCAGCTTTCGAGTCGACGCAGCTTTCGAGTCGACGCAGCTTTCGAGTCGACGCAGCTTTCGAGTCGACGCAGCTTTCGAGTCGACGCAGCTTTCGAGTCGACGCAGCTTTCGAGTCGACGCAGCTTTCGAGTCGACGCAGCTTTCGAGTCGACGCAGCTTTCGAGTCGACGCAGCTTTCGAGTCGACGCAGCTTTCGAGTCGACGCAGCTTTCGAGTCGACGCAGCTTTCGAGTCGACGCAGCTTTCGAGTCGACGCAGCTTTCGAGTCGACGCAGCTTTCGAGTCGACGCAGCTTTCGAGTCGACGCAGCTTTCGAGTCGACGCAGCTTTCGAGTCGACGCAGCTTTCGAGTCGACGCAGCTTTCGAGTCGACGCAGCTTTCGAGTCGACGCAGCTTTCGAGTCGACGCAGCTTTCGAGTCGACGCAGCTTTCGAGTCGACGCAGCTTTCGAGTCGACGCAGCTTTCGAGTCGACGCAGCTTTCGAGTCGACGCAGCTTTTGAGTCGACGCAGCTTTTGAGTCGACGCAGCTTTTGAGTCGACTCAGCTTTTGAGTCGACTCAGCTTTTGAGTCGACTCAGCTTTTGAGTCGACTCAGCTTTTGAGTCGACTCAGCTTTTGAGTCGACTCAAAAGCGCCTGAAAGAGGGGTGCACCCTCCTGCTCCATACACTCACGGCAAGAGGTGCAAGAGAAACGCCACCCCCTTGGCTTTGCCAAGCACATGCCTGTGAGGAGCGAGAAAAGCGTGCCTTCCCTACCATTGGCACATGCACACAAGATGGATGGATGAGCGGAGGAGAGTCGCTTTCTTTCTTCACCCCTTGTTTTTCTTCACTATCTCACCTTCTTCAAGCACATGCGTGGTGACTTTTGAGTCGACTCAAGAGTCACCTTTTGAGTCGACTCAAGAGTCACCTTTTGAGTCGACTCAAGAGTCGCTTTCTTTCTTCACCCCTTGTTTTTCTTCACTATCTCACCTTCTTCAAGCACATGCGTGGTGACTTTTGAGTCGACTCAAGAGTCACCTTTTGAGTCGACTCAAGAGTCACCTTTTGAGTCGACTCAAGAGTCACCTTTTGAGTCGACTCAAGAGTCGCTTTCTTTCTTCACCCCTTGTTTTTCTTCACTATCTCACCTTCTTCAAGCACATGCGTGGTGACTTTTGAGTCGACTCAAGAGTCACCTTTTGAGTCGACTCAAGAGTCACCTTTTGAGTCGACTCAAGAGTCACCTTTTGAGTCGACTCAAGAGTCGCTTTCTTTCTTCACCCCTTGTTTTTCTCCACTATCTCACCTTCTTCAAGCACATGCGTCCATACTCCAACCCCTCAGCATCCCCCACCCACAGAAAGACGAAAGAAGGCGTGTCGGCTATGGCCTGCCGAAAGGGGAACGGGAGGGGTGTGGTGGGGCGAAAGACGCAGACAAGGAGAACGAGAAGATATAGGCAAAGGCACCGCAAACACATGGCCTTTCCCTACATGGCTTCGCCTCTTTCTGTCTTTCCGAGCTTGTTGTTCCTTCCTACTCGCAATTCCTTACTCGTTCCTACCCTCCCAAGTCATACCTCCCTTGTCCATACATCGATTCTCAGCGCCATGATTTGTTGGGGCGTACCTACATACACCACCTGATATCGTCCCCCATCCTGGTGCCCCTTCCACATACTCCTCCCAGCCTATTTTTGAGGCGCCTCAAAAATCCCCCAGCCTGGTGCCCCTTCCACATACTCCTCCCAGGACCCAGCCAGCCTACCAGCAGTACCAAATAATCTCCTGGTGTTTTCTACCTCAATCCGAGAGCCATGATTTCTTGGGGCGTCCACTAATCTATCCCGTCCCCCATGCCCTGTGCTCGCCTCACATACTCATCTCAACCTACTCTCCCCAACCCAACCCTCCCATGCTGCTAGCAGCACCTCCCCTGGTGGTGCCTACCTCAATTCTCAGTTCCATTATCCTCTCCGGCGTTCACCACTCAATCTCGTCCCCCATGCCTGGTACTCGCCTCACACACTCCTCCCAGCTTCCCCCCGTTCCTTCCTCCTCTCCCCCCCAGTTCTTACCTCCCCCAGTTCCTATTTCAATCCGCAGAGCCATGATCTCTTGGGGTGTCCACCATTGTATCTCGTCCCCCATGCCCGGTGCCCGCCACACATACTCCTCCCAAGCTACCAGCGACACCTTCCCCCAATCCTACACTCCCAGTTGATATCTCCCCTGGTGGTACCTACCTCGATTCGCAAAGCCATAATTTCTTGGGGTGTCCACCATTCTATCTCGTCCCCCATGCCTGGTGCCCGCCGCACATACTCCTCCCAAGGAGGGTCGATCAGAATGACATCAAACTTGGTGCCGAAGATTTCCGGAGTCAACTCGACCTGGGGAGAACGACGGGCAGAGGCATGGGCGGGGGGGAGCATGGGGGGGGGGGGGGCATGGGGGGGAGCATGGAGGGAAGGATGGGGGGAAGAATGGTGGGGAGCATGGGTGGAGCATGGGGGGAGCATGGGTGAAGCATGGGGGGAGCATGGGGGGAGCATGGGGGGAGCATGGGTGGAGCATGGGGGGAGCATGGGTGGAGCATGGGTGGAGCATGGGGGGAGCATGGGTGGAGTGGAGCATGGGGGGAGCATGGGGGGAGCATGGGGGGAGCATGGGGGGAGCATGGGGGGAGCATGGAGGGAGCATGGGGGGAGCATGGGGGGAGCATGGGGGGAGCATGGGGGGAGCATGGGGTGGAGCATGGGGTGGAGCAAGGGGGGAGCATGGGGGGAGCATGGGGGGAGCATGGGGGGAGCATGGGGGGAGCATGGGGTGGAGCATGCGGGGAGGATGCGCGAGGGCATGAGGGGATGCACGCACAAACTCCTCCCAGGGGGGAATCAATCAAGATGACGCCAAACGTGATACCGAATATCCCAGGAGTCAACTCGACCTGCGGGGGTGTGGGTGTGGGTGCAGGTGTGTGTGTGGGGAGGTGTAGTGGGGAGGTGTGGTGGGGAGGTGTGGTGGGTGTGTGTGGTGCGTACATCAGATCTGGTAACCTGGTTACCTGTTTCAAGTCCATCTGAAGGTACACAGGAGGCGTAGTCGTATCAGCCACGATACATGATCGCACCTGTTTCATGCAACACCAGAGATGGTAACCCGGTTACCTGTTTTAGGTCCATCTGAAGGTACACAGGAGGTGTGGTCGCATCCGCCACAATCCGATCCTTCCTCGTTATAAGCTCCTTCAGTTTCGGATACTCCTCAAACCTATCATTCACGTCCATATCGCGTATAAAGTTCTGGGGCCTGTATCCCGTATCCACAAAGTGTTGGGAATAGTCATTCTGCGCCCCCCTTGACTTCCCCCGTGTTGCCACATACCCCATGCGGCCCCCAGGCGTTACCATGCCGCCCCTTCCCCCCATGCCTCCCCCGCCCATCCTTCCGCCCATGCCTCCCCCCATGCCTCCCCCCATGCCTCCGCCCATGCCTCCGCCCATCCCTCCGCCTATGGGCGGGCCTCCAGGCCCTCCCGCGCCCATCTGGCGGCTTTCCCCTCCCCCTGGCCCTCCGCCTCCTCCTCCCCCTCCGCCTCCCCCTCCGCTTCCGCCTCCCCCTCCGCCTCCGCCTCCCCCGCCTCCTGTCCCCGGCCCCGGCCCCGGCCCCCCTCCGCCCATGGGCATTCCCCCAGGCGGCCCCATGTGCATCCCCCGTCCCCCCATTCCGCCCGGACCTCCCCCCATCTGCATTCCTGGCCCTCCACCCATGGGCATTCCCCCTCCGCCCATTCCCCCTCCGCCCATTCCGTCTCCGCCCATAGGGGGACGCCCTGCGCCCATAGGCGGACCCCCTCCCCCCATAGGCATTCCTCCACCCATGTTCCCCATGCCTCCCATTCCCCCCATGCCTCCCATTCTTCCCGCTCCCCCCATATTCCCCATCCCCATGCCCATATGCCCCATCCCCATCCCCATACCCATCCCCATGCCTCCCCCCATCCCCCCGCCGCCCATCCCCCCGCCGCCCATCCCCCCTCCGCCCATGCCTCCCCCCATGCCCCCCATACCTGGCCCCATCGGTCCCCCCATATGCCCCATACCCATCCCCCCCATTCCCATCGGCCCCATCTCCCCGCCCATTCCCCCGCGCCCCATCCCGCCTCTCCCCCCATGCGCGCCTCCCCCCGCGTCCCCCCCTCCTCTTCCGCCAAAACCCCCGCTGTCGTCAAAACCCCCGTCCCCAAACCCGCCATCCCTCCGCCCTCCGCCCCACCCATATCTCCCAGGTTCCCCCCAGACCCTTCCGAAACCCCTGTCGTCCTCTTCCCCCGCTCCCCCTTTTCTCTTCCGCTCGTCCTCCCCCGCGCCTTCCCCCTGGCCATTCCCCCAAGCCCGATCCTTCCCCTCCTCCCTTTCCGCCGCCCTTCCCGCGCCTTTATCGGAACCCCCCGCTTCCGCTTCCCCTGCCTCTCCATTTCCCCCTCTGGCGGAAAAGCTTCCGCCGTTCCCCATCACGTTAGGGTTAGACCCCCTGACGTCATTTATAGGTCCCTGCTCCGCTCCCCAGCCGCCTTCGCGGAAACCGGTCCTACCTCTGTCCTCCATACAGTCTAAAGTGCACAGTGATACAAGCGTCGGTAACTGTAAAAATCACGGGAAGCTAATAACGAACTAAATGAAATCGGTGGCTGTATCGACCCCTATTTTGAAAGATTCTGACACAAAAGAACAGATAGCGACAAGCGAAGGAGCGCTATGGCCGAAACCGATTTCCGTCAGAAGAAGCGACCGTCGTGCGATGACGAACCTTCTAATCTAGAACTTTCAGATGTAACCCGCGGTACGTAACTAGTCCGAATGTACGAAACAGAAGGGAGATCGAGTAGGATGTTCGAGGCGAAGGTTTTCACAAAAATGATGAGTCGCGAGGTTGCGGAACAGTCATTGTCGTTTTACTGTAGAGAAAAGCTTCTCGTGTATTGATACCGCTCATGGTATGAAAGTTCCAATATTTGCTAACAAAACAAATATGTACACTAATTCAGCACATATCCAGACTGTCCATGACGTACCCACCCAGCCCAGTGCATAATTATTTACAGATCAAACAGAAAATGACAAGTGAAACTTTGTATTATAATGCTCTGGGAGTCTGGGCTGGAGGACGAATGGGGCCCATTTGATAAAGAGCACGGGAGACAAAGAGAGTTGATGCTACGGCATGCAGCACCAAAGCAGAGAAGAGGCATGCTAGAATGGGATGGAGCTCGCCAGGGATACAATAGCGAGCTGATTAGAGTGAGTGTGAACCTGAAAAATTAGAGTGATTCTGTGGGTTACACTACACTGAACCTGTGGGTTAGAGATAGCCTGTAGGTTAGAGCAGGTTCAAGGAAACCTGTGGGTTAGAGCGAAGCTGTGGGTTAAAGCGGAGCTGTAATTTAGAAGCTAGAAGGCTCTCGGGAGGCGAATGGAGCCCATTTGATGGAGCGCGAGGGAGACAAAGAGAGTGGATGCCACAGCATGCAGCACCACTGCAGAGAAGAGGCACGCTAGAATGAGCGCTGAGGTGGGCAGGGCTAGGATAAGCAGCACGGCTGATTGAACATCTGTGGAGAGTAGATTTCTATGGGTTGAATGTGAGCCGTTGATCGATGGCAAAAGGTCAGGCGGAAATTGGTGGGGTGCAAGGAATGGGAGGAATGAGAATACGGGCATCGAGGGCATGGGCAATTGAAGATTCGGTGGCGGAAAGGGAGGAACAAGGAATGCGGTGGTATACGGTGAGGATGATGCAGGTGCGGTGATAATGGGTGTAGATGCCGCAAAAACTGTCGTCACCGGTGTAATTGGTATAAATGGTGTAGACGATGGTATACCCGCATGCAGCAGGTTATGAAGCATAACATTTTGGATGATTCCTGTAAGCAGGAAGCATGCTGCAGCGAGGGAGGAGAGCACCCCCAGGAGGCCGAAGTTGAGGGCGAGATAGGCGTGGGAGTAGCGACGTAGGAGTCGGAGCGTCATGGAGAGAGAGGCGAGGAGGGGCGATGGAGTCTGCACTGACACCGATAGGAGCACTCTGCAGGCGAGGAAGGGACGGGGACCCCGGGGGGGAGGGCGGGTAGGTTCGCGGAAGAGAAGGGACAGGAGACAGAGGGAGGTGAGTGAGAAGGGGTGTGAGGAGGCAGGGTGCAGCGAGGGAGGAGAGGACCCCCAGGAGGCCGAAGTTGAGGGCGAGATAGGCGTGGGAGTAGCGGCGGAGCAGACGGAGGTTCATGGAGAGAGATGGGAGGAGGGGCGATGGAGACTGCACGGACACCGATAGGAGCACTCTGCAGGCGAGGAGGAGAAGGGAAGGCAAAAGGCAGAAGGGTGTGGGAAGTGAAGAGGAAGAAAAAGTTCGTGAGACAGAGAGGGACGCGAGGAGGGAGATTGGCTTCTGCACGGACACCAATAGGAGCACTCTGCAGGTGGGGAGGGGAAATGTGGGTGAATGGGAAGAAAAGAAGGAATGTGAGGTTAAAGGAAAGAAGAAGAGAGAGAGGCGAGGAGGGGCGATGGGGTCTGCACGGACACTGATAGGAGCACCATGTAGGTGAGAAAGATAAGGCAAGGGAGGGTTTGGGGCGGGGAAGACAACGGGGAAATGCGACAGAGTATGGGCGGTGAGAAAAAGGGGCGAGACAGGGAAGAGGATGGGTTTGGGAGTCTGGGGAAGGGTCTCAGATGATGAAGAGGAGGAGGCTAAAGTCGAGGTGAAAGGAGGAGAGAGTGAAATCAAAGAGAGGCGTCAAGGGGAAGGCAACGGCTCGGAGTGCCAACTTTTGAAGGCAGAACAGGCCAAAGCCTGATGAGGGTCTCACATGGTGATGAGGAGCAGGGCGAAGGTGAGACCCTCATTCACCAGTGGTGCTCAGCAGGGCAGTAGACTGTAGCCATGCCGAGCACCACTGGCATGCTGAAATCGGTGAACTCAAAGAGAGGCGCCACTACGAAGGTCACAGCTATAAACCGATCCCTCCACAGGTGATCAAGACAAAAGTCAGTTGAGTGACTCACATGGTGAGGAGGAGCAGGGCGAAGTCGAGGTGGATCGCGGTTACCACCCCGAGCACCACTGGTGTGCTGAAATCGGTGGACTCAAAGAGAGGCGCCACCGCAAAGGCCACACGTATGAACCAATCACTCCACAGGTGATAATGACAAAGATCAGGTAAGAGCCTCACATGGTGAGGAGGAGCAGGGCGAAGTCGAGGTGAATGGCGGTAACCACCCCGAGCACCACGGGAGTGCTGAAATCGGTGAACTCAAAGAGAGGCGCCACCGCAAAGGCTACGGCGAGGAGAGTTGATGCGATGGCTGAGACGATGAGGAGCGAGGGGGAGAAGGCCGCATCGAAGTTGTGAGAGGCCAACCTGGAAGGGGGAAGTGGGGAAGAGGGGAGAAGAGGGGAGAGGGGAGAGGAAAGAGGGAATATGCGTGCTTCGAAACTACAAGGAGCAGTGAGAGTATGAATGCGGAACCCAACTGGCATAAGTTCTAGCAGGTGTTTGTAACAGACTCAACAAATTACCTGAAGGAGCTTTGTAGCAATTGCCACTGTGCATGCCACGTCAGCATCTCGTCCTCCGACCCCAGAATCAGCCGCTGATGTGGACGAGAGCCCGGCACGTACCCCCCAGACAGACCTCTGAATAAGCCTCGCCTCCCCCCTGCTCCTAAAACAGCTTCTGAACCTAGAGTAGCTTCGTTTTCCGAACCTAAGATGGCTTGGTCTCCAGAAACCGCGCTTTCTCCTGAAACGGCTGCCTTTCTCGAAGCAGCTTCTACTCCTGCTGAGGCAACGCCTGCCTCTCCACTCTCTGATGTAACTCCTTCGCAACTCTCTAAGGATTGGTTAGTTCCTGGTGCTGCTGGCACTGCTGCTACAACTGCTATTGAGTCGACTCCAGAGGCAGCGCCTGCCTCTCCACTTCCTGATAGAACCCCGTTGCAACTCTCCAAGGTTTGGTTAGTTCCTAGCGCTGCTGGCACTGCTGCTGCAACTGCCAATGCTGGTGGTGCAGCTGCTGCCTCTGCTGCCAAAACTGCCGCTGCTGCTGCTGCTTCTGCCTGCTGTTCATACTGTGTTATTTCCCCCTGCGGCTGTGGTTCCACCTCTTTTGGTCTCACAACGCCTTGCTCACATTCCTCTCCCTCCTGCTCCGCCTGTCCCTCTTCCTCTCCCTCCCCCTCTTCCGCCACCCCTCTCTCTCCCTCACCCTCCGCCTTGCCTTTTTCTCTTTTCTCTGCTTTCCTCCCTTTCTCTCTCTCCTGTCGCTCCAGCTGCCCTTCCTCATGACGACACCCCCTTTGCACCCGAATCATCGCCCCTTTACCAGCGACAGTAGCTTCGAAGTGACCCTCTTCCCCGTGCTCCCTCTCTCTTCCTCCCACTTCGTCCCCCTCGCTTCCACCCTCTTCGTTCCCCTTTCCCCCTATGTCCCCCCCAATCTTCTCTTCCAGCCGCCCCCCTTCCAGTTGCCCCTGTTCAAATCGCCCCTCTTCTCCCCACTCCCTCACAGAGTCACAAACATCTACAATCTCCTCCTCACCACCCTCACTCCCACTACTCTCCTCACTCCCCTCCCTCACTCCTTCTCGCCCACCCACAACCTCCCCTTCCCCTACTGCTATCGGGAGGTGCATATAGAGAGCGACAAACGCAGAGACCAGCAGCCACAGCAGCAGCAGACCAACACACGCCAGCCACAGCACGCCAGACCCCACTATAACCTCCTCGCCTTTAGTCACACCCCAGGGTGCTAGCGCCACCCTCCATTCCGCACAGCACTGTGCTACCGGACCTGACACGGAACCGGCTGCCGTACCTCCGCCTGATTCTGCCGAAGCTGACCTTCCTGCACTATGCACCACCGAACCAGTAGCCTTCACGTCTGGAACCGCCGAGCCTGATGTTTCCAAACCAGGCTGGACCTCCGAGCCTTGCCATGTGGAACTGGAGCCAAAGGCTTGACCAGGCATTCGAAATCCTGCACTCGGGCAGACAACGAATAATCGGATCGCCGCAAGAAACCAGGGCAGGAGGAACAAAAGAGCGGCAACAGACAGCAGGGGGGGCAGCAGCAGCAGAAATCGGACGGCTCTGGATGGGAGTAGCCCAGTTGATCGAAGGGCTGAGGATGCGAGAGAGAAGTGACTAGGATGGTGGGAGCGAGGAGAGGAAAGGAGAGGGGAGGGCGGAGATGAGGGGATGAGGAGCAGGAAGAGGAGAATTAGTCCTATAGAACCAGCTAGGAGGGAGATGAAGAGGGCAAGTAGCCGTTCGTCAGGGGAAATGCCTAATTTGTGAGGAGACTGGGAGTTAAACAGATGTATGTGATGGAAGAGTGGTTTAAAACGGTGCTGAGCGGTAGGACTTGAGATGTTTTGGGGGCTGGAGAGGGTTCGGAGACTGGTAAGGGCCTGGTGGTCCGCCTGGACCTGAATTGGCTGCGGTTGCTGCGCTATAATAGCTTCGATAGTCGCGTATAAGCATAGTAACAAGAGAATCAGCGTTAACGCGCGGAGAGCAGAGGCCGAGAGACGGGAGAGGAGGTATAGGGAGCCTAAGAGGAGAGGTAAGGGGGCGAGTATGGAGAGAAGGAGTGCGAGGAAGGGAGTGAGAGAGAAGAGAGGGGAGATGAGGCGAAGGAAGGAGGAGCAGGACCAAGGCGGGTAGAAGAAGAGGGTTTCGCGGACGGTGAGGTATGCCAGGAGGAGGAAAGTGAGGAGGGAGAGGAGGAAGTTGTGTGTGGGGAGGTGGATGTTGTGAGAATCCGCTTCGTTTAGGAGATTATGCGCGGATAAGTGACGGCGGATGGGGCGTGTTATAACGGGACGTGCTAATAGCGGGGATTGCAGGGATTCTCGCGAGCTGGGGAGTGAGAGGGAAGAGGGGTCATCCGAGGCTGGGTGTGACTGTATCGGATGTGACGGAGGCGAGCGAAGTGGGGTTCCGTTGGGCGATACAAATCTGGGGTGACGAGAAACGGTTATAGCAGACCTTGATTCAGCTGCTGGTGCTGACGTCAGTACTGATGACGTGTACTGCTGACTTGCTGACTCAGATGACATGGCTGCGTCAGGGGGATGCACTGCCTGGGTTGAATCTGCTTGCTGAATTGAGTTTTTTTCTAGTGAACCTGCTTGAGCTTCTGTCGGATGTGCTTCTAATGAGGGTGTTACGCTCCCAAAAATCCGGTGCGTAAATTTCGGCTGCTGAGAGCTCATTTTGGAATGAGAGGAGAGACGAAGACACCAAAGGCTGCTTGAACGCTTGTATAAGAAACATGGGCGGAGGAGGTGACTGAAACGAGAAAGCGTGCTGAAACAATGAAAGAATTCTACGAAACTGGATGGACTGAATAGTGGCGTCGAGCGGTATGACAGAGTCGTGATCGTCACGTACTGGACAGAGCTACGACGTGATATCGATAGGACGGAACTTGACGGCAACGCAAATCAAGCTACTTGCATCTCTCAGCGAGAACGTCTCGGGGAACGGAGAACCGAAGTGGGAATTATTGATTCCTTATAGAAGATGCCATTCAGCTTTGATTGACGTGACGTGTTTGGCTGACTCGGGTGTTGCCTTCGAATTCACGTACTACTTTTCGCCTGGTGCGTTGCGGTCCAAAGCAGTTATAAAGGAAGGTACTGTGGTTTATCGGTGACGAACGCCGCGACACCTCCAAGATTCTCGTGACCCAACAGATTCCTCTGATCAGGCAGATTCCCTGACTAGTGACCGTTGCATTCGCTTCGCGATTCACAGACACCCTCGCGAAATTTTTCTTCCCATCGTGAAGGTTACTTCTACGGTGCTGACTGCTAGCACATTTCCTCCAATCGAGTGATGCGAGGCTTTGACGAGGTGTTTTTCAACCAGGGTAACTTTCTCGAAAGAATGGCAGAAATTTCGGCTGAATGGGTTCGGCACCAGGGTGGTTACCACTTTATCGCAGCTCTGTGTATTTGCCATACTTCAAATCTCGTCGAGCGTCGTTATGGCTTCGCCGAGACCCCCCTCTCATCGCCAGTTCCAATCCCATCTCCCATTCCGTTTTGCAAATGGTGGAAGCTGCTAGAAGCATATGCTGGGCCAGCCACTCACTCCCACTTCACACCGCTTAGTTTCTTGCCACCGAGTACCTTTTGAACTAACGATTGCAGCGATAACCGCTGCTGCGGCTTTTGCGGTTGTTGTCTTCTCTTACAGCCAGTCTCGAAAATGGCTTTAACTACTGTCAGTTCCCGACTAAGATGGTCGCCTTTGCAACTTCCACGGCTTCATGCCTCAAAAGTGAAAAGTTCTGTCAGGGTATTTATCCCCAAACCGGAGACAAGAAGCCATTTTCTAGCAGCAGTCGGCCAAAACGAGAAGATTAAGCAGCGAATAATAGGGGTCCGGCTTGATAGTAGTCACGGCAGTCAGAGGTTTCGCACCAGAATTCTCTCCAAACACAATTCTGAAACGGGTAAGCTTGTTTCCAGTGAGTGGCTGTGGGTCGTTCTTAGAGTCTTCTAGAAACAGGTCACTGGATAAGCGTATGTTCTTAAGGTGGTGTTCTCACTCCACTGCATCATTGTCAGCCACCTCTCCCCATTGATAAAAGTTGCGTTTTGAGACGTCTCAAAACTCAACTTGTATTAGGTCCCTGGATAAGCGTGTGCTCTCACTCCACTGCGTCAGTGTCTACCCCCTCTCCCCATTCGCAAACGTCAGCTGTTTCAGAGCAAGCTTTCAACGCGTAACGTCTCAGCGCGTTTGATTCTCTCCAGTTACCGTAACTTGCCACTCTCTGTCGCAGGCGAGACGGATTTTGAGACTGAAAGTGGGGAATCCACTTCACTGAATCACCAACCACCACTGGTGGCACCGCCTCCCCCTTGTATTCCGTCACCACCTCACTTCGCTACTCTCTGTTGCAGGCGAAACCGTTTGAGGCAGGCTTGACTGAAGAGTGACAAATCCATTCCACTGAATCACCAACCACCACCGCCTCCCCCTTGTATTCCGTCACCGCCTCCCCCTTGTACTCCGTCGCAGGCGAGACGCATAGAGGCGAATTTTGAGTCGACTGAAAAGTCGTAAATCCGCTCCAGTGAACCACTATCCACCAACGCCTCCCCCACATATGTTGTCGCTGCCTCACTTCGCCCCATTGTGTGGCAGCCGTTACGGATCAATTCGACCTTTGAGTCCTCTGAAAAGTGGTGAATCCACTCAACTCCACTCCGCTGGATCACTATCCACCAACGCCTCCCCCACATATGTTGTCACTGCCTCACTTCACCCCATTGTGCGGCAGGCAATACGGATTTGCCGGGCGAAGCTCGCTTTGTGGAGGTCAGTTGAAGCCCCAATTTTTCTTCCCTGCTCTTCTTTTGAACATGTGTGTCGTTAGAATTCAGACACGCTTTGAATAGCGGCTGGCATAGGATGGCATGGGATGGCATCGGCTGACATGGGCTGTGATAATATGGCTGGTATGGGATGGCATGGGGTGGTATGGGCTGACATGTGCTGGCATGGGATGGAGCTGGCGTGGGATGGAGATGGCGTGGAATGGAGCTGGCGTGGGCTCAGATTAAAGCCTCTGGCAGTCGCTTCACCTCATCCTTCCATTTCCACCCAGCCCACCCTCCTCCCTCTTCGAGTGTATTGAAAAATTAGTTTATTGGGAGTTATTATTCAGAAGGTGTAATGATGAATATCTGAACTTTCTTCCTCCCTACCTCCCTTTCTTTCTATTTTCACCCAGCCCACCTCCTCCGCCCAATCAGAATTGGCCAAGTCGCCCCCTCCCTCTACCTCCAACCTCTCCTCCCCTGAACCATCAACGGATGGCCCGGCTTTATCTCCAGACCCAGCCTCAAAGACAGGCTCGGAACCAGGCACGGTGCTAGGCTCGGTGTTGGACTCGGACCCGAGCCAGCGGCGGAGTGTGCAGGTGACATTTACGTGTGGAGTGTGCGGGGCCCGCACCTCACGGCTGGCGAACCCCCTGGCATTGAAGAAAGGAACAGTCTTTGTGCAGGTGAGGGAGGGGTAGGTAGGAATGAACGGGGAGGTGGGAGGAACGGGGAATGGGAATTGAGGATGGGGAATGCTTGATAGGGGCAGGGCATGAAGGAGTGAAGGGGTGAGAAAGGGCAGAGGTATGGGCAGTGTGCAGGTGACACTCACGTGTGGAGTGTGTGGTGCCCGCACCTCACGGCTGGCCAGCCTTCTTGTTTTGAAGAAGGGCACAGTCTTTGTGCAGGTGAGGAAGAGGGATGGGAGAAAAAGGGGGAACGCGGGATGGGAAATGGGGCGGGAAAAGGGGAAGGGAGGAATCGAGATCCCGAGGGAGGAAGGGCGGAAGGGCGGGAGAGAGGAAGGGAGGAGGTAAGGGCAGTGTGGAGGTGACGTTCACTTGTGGAGTGTGTGGTGCCCGGATTTCACGGCTGGTCCGACCCCATGGCGCTGAAGAAGGGAACAGTCCTTGTGCAGGTCAGAGGGGAGGAAATGGGTGAAGGGTTATGGATGAGGGAGACGTGACCTTTAGTTTGTTTTGCGCCAGTGCCCCTTGCTTCATTGTACAGTGATCATGTGCTGAATGTTATATGAAAATCCCTTCAAAGTTCTGGTGGTTGTGCTAAGTGCTTCGTCCTCCTGTTTTGGTCATGCCCCATTGCTCCCTTGTTCTCCCCTTGATATGCACTGTAGTGCGGCGGCTGCGAGAAGTTCCATCGATTGGTAGACAACTTGGGTCTTATTGTGGAGTACGATTTCCGAAACGAGAGTGGTAGTGAGAGTGCAAGCGAGAAAAGCTAGCGAACTTGTTGCACAATCGTTCTCTATGGCATTTATTAACTCATTTCTGGCAGGTGGTATAAGTTGAGAATTTGTGCTGGCTATGTTGGAAAGGGGGCTTGGATGCAAGTTATTTTAAATGGTACGGGTTTTTGGCAGTTATGAAGTTACACGCTTGTTCAGTATTCGCTTACTTCGGGAAAGCTAGCATCCCGGTTGCATGACGCCACTCACTTCGGGAAAGCTCGAGGCACGTCCAAGAACAGCGAAGCAGCACAGAAGCAACGACGAGCAGACGAACGGTCTCGATTTTTCTAGCAGCATCCAGCGACCCGCATTCTCTCGACTCTTCCTCAAGCCAGCAACACGTGCCACCGAATCGGGCGACACGGCAGGTAACTTCTAGGAGAAGCCAAACTGGGCTTTGCTGTGGAGAGCATACGTAATGTAAGTTCCGTTGCGCACAAATTTTTGATTTCGTAAGCTCTAGCATTTATCAAGGGCGTTGTTGCAGCAGGTTTCACCGGAGCGCTTATAGGAACTTAAAGTCGGATTTGACTTATCGTTTCTGGTTCAACGAAAATAGCTTTGTCGCGAGCCCTAGATTGAAATAGAACAGCTGTGCTGTTGGAAGCGCATTGATAGCAGACAATTATGGATTTTGAGCTACGGAGGGCGCAGCAGCGATACGAGAAGGAGCAGCGTGAGAAGCGGGAGGCGGCGCGGCTGAAGGCGGAGAGGCAGAGGAAGGCGAAGGAAGAGATCGAGGCGCGTCGGAGGGCTATCGAAGAGGCGCAGAGGCTCAAGCGGTTGGAGGATGCTGCAGCTGCTGAAGCAGTGAGTGATCTGATTTGATTTAATTTGATTCGATTCGATCAGCTGCTTTCGGGGTTTGCGCGTGTACGAAGGAACAGCCCACAGCTCCCGCATTTCCTGTTTGTTTCGTTTCCCGTTTTCCCTCTCTCTTCGTCGTTTTCCCGCGACTCTCCGTTCCTCTTGCTATATTGTTATACCCTCGTCCAGTTCGGATCTCGAGAGTTAGTAACCCCCGTTTTTATTTCTGACGTGTTTTCCCCTGTCAGGCTCGTCGTCAAGCGGAGGCGGATCTGCAAGCAGGGGGCGGCATCCGCTTCAATCGCGAGCTGATCCCCGTCGCTATAGCGGGCGACCGCGATAAGATCACACTCCCGCAGTCGGTGCTGTCCGATCTGCCGCTAGACGAGGCCCTCGATAGAGGACCCATGCTCTTCGAGCTCTCCGTTCCGCGCGCCGCTGGCGGAAGCGCGGCAGGCGGAAGCGCAACCGGCGGAAGCACGGCGGACGGAATGGAGGTTGATGGGGAGGAAGAGGATGACGCCGACGAGGGTGGTTATGCGGTGGATGTTGATCTTAACGGGGGTGATTATAACGGGAGGAGAGTGAAGCGGAGGGTGACGCATGGAGGCGTTTTGGAGTTTACTGCGCCGGAGGGCTGTGTAGGTCTACCCCCTCTTATCCTGCGAAATTTGGGGTTAACGGGGATTATGGACGTCTTTAATCCGTCCGGTACTCCCCCCTCTGTGCGTGTCCGCTTCGTCAAGCTCCCTAAAGCCACGTTCGCGCGGCTCCAGCCGCTGCGCCACGGGTTTCTTGCTGACGTGGCGAATCACCGCGCTGTTCTGGAGGCGGCGCTGCGGGGCCAGGCGGCGCTGACACGTGGCGACGTGCTATTGATCGGGTCGGAGGTGGGGGAGGTGGCTGTGCGCGTGTGTGAGGTGAAAGGGGTGGGCGGCGCGAGAGGCGCTGCTACAGTGATTGATGCTGACGTGGAAATTGAGCTGTCGCCATGGGAGGCGGAGGGGGGAGCGGAAGGCAAGGGAGGAATGGGGAACAGGCAGGGGGAAGGCAAGGGGGAGGGAAAGGGAAAGGGGAAGGAAGGAGAAATGCGGGATGCAGGGAGGGATGGGAAGAATGTGGGGGACGGAGGGTGGGCTATGGCTGGTACCGGGAGAAAGCTGAGGGAAACAGATGAGCAACAAGGAGAGACAAGAGAGAAAGGAGAGGAAGCAGAGGGAGGAGGGAGAGGAGTTGGCGCTGGAGTTGTAAAGAGGGAGGTGATCCACGTGGGGAGTGCTGATAGGCGCTTACTGGTGCTGCCTATAGGGGGGAAAGGGCTAGCAGGGGAGATTCAGGAGGGCGAATGGAGGTATTTCAAGGTTTATGTTGATGGGAGGTTAGGCAGGAGGTTGTATCAGGGGGAGGTAGAACTGGAGTTCCGGTTGCAGCTTGAAGGGGGGTCGGCTGATGTGGCTCGAGGAGGTGGTGACGTGGCGGAGGGTGATGCCGACCTGTACCTGACCAGGCACCCTATTGTGTACCCCTCGTTTCTGGACCATGACGTGTCGTCCATTCTCCCTATTGGCTCCAAGACGCTCGTTCTCTCCGCATCAGCACTGGCGAAAGCAGCAGTACCAGCAGCACCAGCATCAGCGGTAGCAGCAGAAGCAGCACGAGTGGAAGTATCAGGAACAGTAGTACCAGAAGGAGCAGCAGCAGCAGCAGCAGCAGCAGAAGCGCTGAAGGAGCCTGCAACGTACACTATAGCAGTGCACGGTGCATCAGGCACTTGCAGGTTCAATATATCTGCACACTCCAAAGAGTTGATCTCCTCTGATATAGACCCATCTGCGTCTGCTGCTGCTGCTGGTGTTGGTGTTGGTGGTAGTAGTGGTGGTGATGCTGCTGCTGCTATTACTCCACCTGCCGACCAATCCCGTTGCGCCAACTGTCGCCAGCTCATCGCCACCCGCACGCTGCCCCTGCACGAGGCCTACTGTTCCCGGCACAATGTTGTTTGTCCGGATCCCGGGTGCTCCGTGGTGTTGAGGCGGGCGGATTTGGAATCGGGCGGCGAGCACCACCAGCACTGCGGGGAGTGTGGGGAGGTGTTTGGTGGGAGAAAAGAGAGGGAGAAGCACAAGCAGGTTCGGCATGGGGAGTTGGTGTGCGAGTGTGGACTCACTGGGAAGGCTGCCGAAGTGGTAAGTGCATGGATGATCCTTCCCACCCCAATTAGGCAGTCTTCCTACCCCAATATCCTTTCCCTTCGCCTGAGACCGCCGTCGCACCACCTGTCCCCGTCGCCCCATCCTCTATCGCTTCTGTGCTGCCCTCGTGCCGGCCCTCATGTCTTTCCTCCCTTCCCCCCTCTCGCCTCAACCCACCCCCACCAGCACCACCACTGGCGCACCACCTGTCCCCACCGCCCCATCCTCTGTCGCTTCTGTGCTGCCCTCGTGCCGGCCCTCGGCCCGCCCCTCTCCGCTATAGACGGTCTCAACGGCCTCTCACCCCACGAGGCGCACTGTGGGTGCTTTCACACATCAACCTCTCCCTCCCTCATCTCTGCCCTCTGCTAATGTTCCGTCTGTGTCTTCCCTCCCATTTCCCCCACCTGCTTTCCTCCCCCACCCTCCCCCACCAGCACCACCACCGGCGCACCACCTGTCCCCATCGCCCCATCCTCTGTCGCTTCTGCGCCGCTCTCGTGCCGGCCCTCGGCCCGCCCCTTTCTGCTAGAGACCGCCTCAACGGCCTCTCACCCCACGAGGCTCAGTGTGGGGCCCGCACAGCCCCTTGTGACACGTGTAGACGGCCGGTTATGTTGAAGGAGATGGATGTCCACGTGGCGGCTTTCCATTCGCTGCCTGCCACGTCAGCAGCATCGCCAGCTGCTGCCACTGCTAATTCCACCACTGCTGCTGCTGCTGCTGCTGCCTCTCCTGGGAACGCTCCTGCTTCTGTGGCTGGTGGGAGGAGCACGCACACGCACACAGATATGGATGACGAGCATTGGGCAAGAGCCTATGCCGGAGATTCTGTTGCTGTGGGTGGTGGGAGGGGCACACACACGCACACAGATATGGACGAAGAGCACTGGGCAAGAGCCTATGCCGGAGATTTTGAGGAGGACCAGGGGTTGCAAGGAAGAGTCGGAGATGGGATGGTGGGGGATGTAGGGAATGTTGGGGCGAGGGGTGGGAATTTGGATGGGGGTTTGGAGAAAAGGGATGGGCCGGGTGGGGCGAGTGGGGTAAGTGGGCCGGCTTCTGGGAGGTCGTTGAATGTGGGGTGTCCGATTTGTGGTGTGATGGTGCACAGTGAGCGAGACCTCAATGTGCATCTGGATACTGCACATTGATAATGCTCAATTGATGTGTTGATGTGATGTGATGTAATTGTTAGTGGATTTAGAGCACCATGTTTGAATTTATTTGTATATGCTGGAACTTATTGCAAATATTGAAAACGCTTTACCTTGTCATCCAAATGATGATGGTTCTTGTGCTGGACGGTACTCGATTACTGGTAAGTCATTCGTTGATCAAATACTGTCGTTGAATTCAGGACCGTATAAAACCGTTTCCAAATTCATCGTATCGAACCGCGCCACGCATTTACAATTTTGAATCTCAGCATTCTATCCTTCACACTCAGATTATGGCAATCGTCGTCACTGCGCCCCTACCCTTGCGGTGTTCGCGCTCCGCCATTCATCCCCCACAAGCCGCCACTGTCAGCGTTCGCCCCCGTCTAGACAGACGTTTTGACCGTCTTCTTTTACTCATGCGCTAGGATTGGAACAACGAAAATAAAAGGAACATATTAACCTCGCGTTGTTTCAAACTTACCATGTCTTTCGGGTTCATCTATTTTCCCGATCTCCGCCCTCCTGCGGTCGAAGAGCTTCCCGCGTCACTCGCGGCGCTGAGTGAAGAAGCCCTATTGGCTGCGCGCGAGGCGGCTTACGAGCAGCAGCTTCTAGCGGTGCGTGCTTCTAACGAGGGGACCGCGCCGATTGGTCAGGCGGGGGGGAGGGAAGGGGAGGGGGAGGGGGAGGAGGTCGAGGGGGAGGCGGAGGAGGAGGAAGAGGAGGAAGATGAGGAGGAGGGGGATAGGGATGAGATGGACGGTGGGGATGACGCGATGAGTGACGAATTCGGGCAGGAAACAGGGGGAGGGTTGTAGTGTGTGACTTTATCATTGTGTGATTGTAAGAGCAAATCTGATTTCAGGTAGGAAGATGAGGGGAGGACGGGAGGGGGGAGAGGGGAAGGAGGGGGAGAACGGGGGGGGAGTGGAAGCGATGGTGTGAGTGGCGAATCTAAAGGGGAGAGGAGGGGAAGGGGGGGTGGAGAAAGGAGTTTGGTTCGTGGTGAAGGGAGTGGGGGGAGGAAAGGAGGGGTGGAGGGGGAGTGGGGTGAGTGAGTGGGGTAGGCTGCATTAAATTAGTGTTTGGACTAAATTAGATACAGCTGCTCGTGTTTGGGTAGTGCATGGGTGAGAAGCAAGTGGAAAACGGGATGGGCACAAAACAGGCTTTCCTTGACAAGAGGTCACATGATGAGAGGCAGTACGGAAGGCAGTATGGGCGGCACTATGAATGGACTTTTATGATGCATTTTAGTCCAGGATTGCGTCCTGTTTTTTGACTGTTTTTGCCACATAATGGAAAGCCAGATCTTCCTGACCAAATACAGTGTTACTGACTACCACCCAGCGGGATGTCACCTTTTAAAACCACCTCCTGCAGTAGCTACAGCAGGTGGAAAAGGTCAAAACCAGTGTCTATTTTCAGACTTTCCTTGTCATCTCCTCTTCTTTCCTCCCTTCCCCTTCTTCTCAGAACCCCCCCCTGCTCCATGTGACCCCCCTGCACCCCCACCTCCTCCGCCACCCCCCTCCTTTTCCTTGTCTTTCTTGCTCCGCCCAACATGCTTCGGTATAAGCTCCCCCAGTTTCAGCATTAGCGCCATTTCTGTACAGTAGGAGGTTAACAGCAATTACAAAAATCAGTGACCTTTGTTGTGTTTGCATGAAATGGGAGTTGAGAGAGGATGAGGGAAGAATGAGGAGAGTATGCTGTCAAAGGATTTCTCCTTATTGACTTTCACAAAGATTGAGGCAAAACCAGCTGCAAGTTAATCCCAGGAGTTACCAGGCAGACACAAGCATTTGCTTTTGTCAGGAATGGATGCTTGGAAGTTAGAACAAGCAAGGTGTGCGTGTGTGACCTACTGTTGCAATTACTGCTGTCTTTACTGTTGCCCATACAGTAGCACATAGTGCTGGAAATGCCGTGCTGTCAAATTTCTGTTCAGCACATAGAAATCTTATTTATACCTATATATAAAGGTATATATATATATATAAAGGGAAGCTAGAAGATGCACGTACTGTTGGGGATATCGGGGTTGTGTGGCGTGCCATCGGGCTTCTTTATCTGCACTCGAATGCGGCCTCTTTGAAAGAAGTCCCGTGAGTAGGCCTTGTCCAGCTGCAATGGGGGTGAGAGAGAGATGACGGATCGGACACATTCAATTGCACAACATTTGACAGACAGACACACATACAAATCCTAGAATGGATACTCTTTGTAAGAAGTTCCCGGAATAGGCCTTGTCTAGCTGCAATGGGGATAAACCAAAAGACACATCCACTTCTATACATATGTACAGAAGAACAGAGACACGGCGACAACCACAACACACCAAATTCATCTGTGCACGCATGGGGTTTTTGGGACTAGATTCACAAACTAACAAGTGAAGGTAATAACTACAGGTGAACGAGAATTTTGGCGTCAGACCAGGAGTCACGGCACGCGTTCGTCAAACCAAAAGCTATGATATGCATTGGGCCAGAAAATGCATCAGACCATTCATTAAACCAGGTGTCATTCCAGGCGTCTGCTCAGAACTGAAGCCATGGCTGTACCCTATAATGTCACAGACGCCATAACAAGATCACGCCTGGTTCAATTCTGCATGCACAGGTATGAACGCACTATCACTCTTGAAGTTTCGGGTTCCCTGTGGCTTTACCATCATCACGATAATGCCATACGATAGCCTATAATGCCCTAGAATGGTCCATAATGCCCCATAATTCCCCATAATGCCCCCACAATGCCCCACAATGCCCTAGAATGCCCCATAATGCCCTATGATGCCATATGATGGCCTATAATGCCCTGTAATGCCTAGTTCCCCATGATGCCCTATAATGCCCTGTAATGCCTAGTTCCCCATGATGCCCTATAATGCCCTGTAATGCCTAGTTCCCCATGATGCCCTATAATGCCACACACAGGACATCATTCCTCACAATGCATGCACGAGGATTTTGAGACGGGTTTGTGGGGAATCTCTTGATGCCCTACAATGCCCTATAATGCCGCATACCGACCGGACGTGAGTTGACCATCTCTTGAATCTCGCGGCCGTCGCGGCCTTACCATCACCATGGATTCAACGCCCTATAACCCCCTATAAAGCCACTCACACCGTAGCATGATCACAACGAGCTCGCCTCTGCATGCACGGGGATTTTGAGATGTGTAACATGATTCTCCTCCCTCCTGCGCGTGCACTGGTCCTCCCATCCCAACGGCCTTACTAGGACTGAACCCCCTATAATGCCATACACCGGACATGATTCCCCCGCAAACCCACCTCTGCGTGCACAGGGAATTTGAGATGCGTGCACGAGTCGAGCATCTCTTGAATGTTGGGGTTCTCCGCGGCCTTACCACGGGCTCCACGCCATATAACGCCCTATAATGCCACACCACACACAGCGTGACATGATCCCCCCTCAAACCCACCTCGGCGCGCACGGGGAATTTGAGTTGCGTGCACAAATCGACCATTTCAAGAATGGTCGGATTCTCCGCGCCTTTATCCCGGGCTCCAAGCCGTTTTACGCCCTATATGCCACACCACACACACTGTGACATGGTTCCCCTGGAAACCCACCTCGGCGTGCACGGGGATTTTGAGGTGCGTGCACGAGTCGAGCATTTCTTTACTCTCGTGTTCCCGCGCGGCCGTTCCAGGTACTCAACTCCCTATATCCCCCCATAAATGCCACACACGCCGTACCATGATCCCCAAACCCACCTCGGCGTGCACGGGAATTTTAAGATGCGTGCACGAGTCGAGCATCTCTTGAATGTTCGGGTTCTCCGCGGCCTTGCTCGCCGCGATGCGACGACCCTGCGCTATAGTCATCTTCGAGTTTATGTAAACGGGGTAGATGATTTGCCACCGCGAGCGATCCGTGCTATCCTCTCCCGCGCTACGAATTTCTACCATTCTGGAAATTTGGTAAAGATCGGTGGAGTTCGGTACCACTCGGGACGAGATTAGGGTTGAATTAGTCGGCTCAAAACAAGTCGAAGCGCGGCACTTTGATGAAGTGTTCCGGCGATTGGCGACTCGTCACAGATCAGGACCCGACGGAATTCGTAGAAAATAAAAAGCTGCGAGAGGAGAGAGCGACGAGAAACTGAAGCCGAGAGAGCGTAACGACGTCCTCTACTCCGTCGGCCAAAGGGTCCAAGGTAGAAAAACCGAAAACCAGGTCCTCTCTAGGGCCTTGGCATTTATATCCGTGGATTCGCGGTACAACTATCTAATTATCAGGGACCACGAACGTTCTAGAGAGGTCACTAACTAACCTACGACTCGTGTCATAGACTCTTGTTTAGAACGTGAATGAGGAAGGGCGGGGCGAGGTACGACACGACAATTGTACAATATTGTGTCGTGCAGTGCGGCTCAGTTAGTTTCAGAACGGTAAGAGTGTCATTTTCCTACAATATCTGTATCAAATGGTTTCAAATCATTTTTGTTAGAACCACTATGTTATTCTTAACCTACAATATTTGCCTCACTCCCACTACTACTACTGAAAAGAGCTTGTTCTCCCCCACTCCCCTATTATTCCACCGTCCCTGTAGAATGTTCCCCATATTGCGGGTCATACATTTACAACAATACCAATACATACCAACAAACAGTTCATGCAAATCATTATACATGCTTGTTATGATCACGCAAACCAGCACCACAAACTGGCTTCACAATAATCATGCCCAAACTATCCTCCGATATCACCCATCGCCCCTCCTCACGACCGCCTTCGGTAGATGCAATCGGCACGAGCCTTCTGTGGCCTTGTGACATAGGAGCAAAGGCTCGTCGTTCCAATATTTCACAACCAACACTACTGGCACCACCAACACGATTGGCACCACTGGCACCTCGAGTGTATGGGGTCTCGTCAGTGCAGCACTTCTTACATCCAATGGGAACACCGCTTTCATCTTGGTTGTCCTCTTGCATATCCTCGTGCTCATCCCCTTCCACTTCCTTTTGCCTTCCCTTGTGCCTGTCCGAAGCCATGTGGTATTCTTGCTTGACTGTCATCATCTCCTCCCATGCATGTGCCTCACTCGTTCTGCTTCGTTGCATGAACCGGCCTGCAGAACCCAGATTCTGATGCACCTCTGTACCAGGAGAAAGCACAAGAGGACTCAAGATAGGACAGTCCTGATTTCGACGTGCCTCTACTCCTGCCGAGAGCACAAGAGGGCTCAGAGAGTCATTACGAATAAAACCATGCACCGGAACTAGCTCCGGTGAAAAGCCATGTGCCTTGGACAGCCTTAGAGGCGCCCCAAGAAGCAGGGATCCTTGAGGCTGGAAAGCAGGCGTTCGAACCAGCTCCGGTGAAAAGGCATGGGGCCCGGACAACCTGTGCAGCGTCTCAAGAGATGGCAAGCCAAGAGGCTCCAGGCCAATCGTGCGACCCTGCTCCGGTGAAATCACGTGGGGCTCAGCAAGTTCTTGAGGCGCCTCAAGCGTGGGAGAGTTCAGAGCCTGACGGTCAAGCATCCGAACCAGCTCTGGGGAAAGTGCATGAGGCTCGGAAAACCTTTGAGGCAACTCAAGCGGGAGTGAATGTTGAGGCTGGGAATCTGCTGGCGGCGCAGCTGGTGGTGCAACTGGTGATGCAACTGGTGATGCGGCTGGAGTCGTAGCTTGTAATGCGCGGGGCCGCGTGAACGAGCGTGTAGCTGTAGACGCAGCTGAAGGTACAGCCGGCACCATGGCCGGCGCTGATCGGCTTTTTCTGACGGAGTTCTCTTGGTAAGCAGTGGTCCTTGTTCCACAGGAGCGCACGCGAACAGCAGCATCGGGATGAGAGCGTTTCAGGGGGAGAGATACGTGCATGGCTGATGTTGTGTGAACCTGGAGATTTGGGGTGACAGGCCGATGGCTTAAAAGTGGTGGTGACCTGCTGGACTGGATTAGAAGGGGTCTAGAGGGGTGTGGAGAGGTTGGTGCTAGCCTAGGTGAGAGATGTGAGGAGAAGAGAGGTGCTGCTTTTGGTGTTCCTGGTGCTATGGCTGATGCTGGTGCTGGTGCTGTGGCTGCTGCCGATGCCTTTGCTTCTGCAGCAGCAGCTGCTGCCGCTACTGATGCTCCTGATGTTGCTGCAGCTGCCGATGCTCCAGCCCCGCCTGTTGCAACATCACGATTCCACCTTTTGCGCTCAACCATCCAAGGTTCGGTGGTTGCCTTGGTGTCAAACTCGACCATCCAAAGCTCTGTCTTTTCTTGGATATTATCCACTTTTCTCACTTGCTGAATAATTTTACACTTGTCCCCTCCAGCAAATCGCCTCTTCATCAACATGTTCTTCTGAACCCCCCTGCTTCCACAACCCCCCATAGATGTTCCTTGCTGCCCATGAAAGGTCTGATCAGCTGCTGCCTCCCCACTCATACGTCCTTGAATAAACGCCTTCTCCTCCCCACTTCCTTCATCTGTGTTTGCCCTCGGAGTCAAGTCAGGAGTCAGCTCAGTGCCTGCCTTTTCAGTCATGTCAGAAGTCAATTCCGTGTTAGGGTGTTCAGCCGAATTAGAGGTCATGCCTGTGTTAATCAGTCGAGTCGAGTCAGAAGGTGTTTCCTGGTTAGGCTGCTCATGGGTGTTGCCGCCCGCCTTGAGGGTGTTGCCGCCCGCCTTGTGGGTGTTGCCGACTGCCTCATGCATGTCTTCGCCGCCCGTCTCGTGGGTGTCTTCGTCTTCGCCGCCCATATTGGCGGTCTGCTCGCCGGCCGCGTCATGCACATGTTCGCCGACCGTCACACAGTCAAGGGTGGGCGGGCTTGTCACGATGTGCAAGTTGACGATTCGCTGCGCCTGGCAGCCGCACTTGGAGCGTTGGGCGCAGCGGAAATAGAGCCTGCAAGAGAGGGAGAAGGGGAGGAGAAGGTAGGAAGAAGGGGAAGGAAAAGGAAAAGTAGGTGGAAACTCCAGAGGTACTCATATGTCTGGCAGCCGCACTTGACACAAAGGGAGCAGCAGAAATAGAGCCTGGGGGAGCAAATCCAGCAGAGCCGATGAGCAGAGAATGAGAGAGAGAGAGAGAGAGAGAGAGAGAGAGAGAGAGAGAGAGAGAGAGAGAGAGAGAGAGAGAGAGAGAGGATTCGGCCGCCGCCGCTCGCTTGCGCGGCCTTCGGCCGCTCGCTTTCAGTTAGTGCTGAAAATGTTGGTGTTGTTCGAGAGAGCGAGAGAGAGAGAGGATTAGCCTCTCCCCTTCTACCCTCTGCCCTCTGCTTTCTGCCCTCTGCCATGACTACTTAAGGCCACGGCGGCCTCTCCATCTCTCATTCTTTCAGTTAGTGCTGAAATTTTTGGCGCTTTGCGCCGGCGGCCTGCGCGGCCTTGGGCCGCGCGTTAGGGATGGCAAGGGGAAACAACAAGCAGTAGTAGCTTAGGCAACCGATACAAACAAAGCAAGCATAGACACTTAGCAAGTAGAGATGGAACGGGTGCGCAAGGGGGGAGCGCCTACATGCGGTCCGCCTCTACCGCAGCGAGCATTCCGCTCGTGTTCAACCACAACTGGCGGACCACAGACACGGTGGCGCCTACAACGTCAACAGGAGTACCAGGGCCTGCTACAAGCGTCCTCAGAGCCAGGGCCGAGTCAGCCAGCTGGCTGGCCGAGGTTGCTCCCGGCGAGGGCGCTACCTGCAGTGGCGTTACGAGCGCGAATAGCGCTGACGCCGCCGCATGACAATCTGCTCGCGGTTTCTGAGAGAACCTGCTCGGAGGGCTCACCGGCATGGAGTCAAATGACTCCTGGAGAATCCGCTCAAGGCTCTGCAAGGACGCCGCCAGCGACCATAGGCGGGCCAGGGTCGCCGTGGGAACTTCCTTCATCGGCGGAAGCAACGCATACGCGCGGGCACGGTGAGACGACACGGCGAGATCACGCGGAGCAGGAAGAGGACGCGGCGGAGCAAACTGAGCCCACGGCGGCCCGCCACCAGCACCTACGAAGCCCATCCCCGCAGGCAGCGGCCGCTCTGAACGCGCCGGGGATCCAAAGGGATTGTGGGGCAGGAGCGCGGAGAGAGGGACGACTGGAGCAGCGCGAGGAGCTGATGGTGACGCCGACCCAGCACGGAGCGACGAAGCTCCTTCTCCACGTCATCAGGCCTATCCAGAAGACGGCGCTCCATTGCGGACGGCGCTGGACGCGCTTTTCCGCCGCGACTGTCACCTCCCCGTCGCCCACGACGCGCACGCCCACTTGCGCTCGAGCGCACAGGCGACTGCGGGCGAGATGGGCCCTGCTGACGCTGGCGGCCAGAAAAACGGTCCCCGCGACGAGGGGAGTAGAGCCGTTGGCGCTTTGCAGGAGGGGGCGAGCGCGGAGCTGGGGGCCGACGCCCAGACGTCTGGCGGGCAGGCGACCGCTGGCGAGATGAACGAGGAGGGGGCGAACGATGACGATGCGAACGGCGGTCACATGATGGGCTTCGCGACGCCACGCGACGAGGCGAACGAGGAGACAGCGGCGAACGGGCCGCACCGTGACGATCAACGCGACGGCTCTCCCGCTTATCGTCGCGAGCTGCCGATGAGCGACGGCGAGGCGAACGCTCCTGGTGCGCCACAACCTCTGCGCCGGAGCGCAAGACGGACCCGCGCGCAGGGGCTCCGGCGGTGACAAGGACCTGCCCGCGCACCGAGCCAGCTCGCGCTGCTGGTCCTCGAAGCGGCGGCGGATCTAATCAGCGGACGCCGGTGGAGCAACAGGTACGCTCGCGGCAGGGCGTGCAGGAGGAAGCGGACGGGGAGCGGGATCGCTCTCCGCGGTGCAGTCGCGGCCCAGAGCGCCGAGGAAATCCATCAGCGAGCGCTCAGGG